TGTGTTCTCTCTCTCTGTCTGTCTCTCTCTCACACACACATACACATACACATGCGCACACACACACTTTTTCTCTCCTACCCTCTGGCCTCTCTCTGTCGTACATACACATATACATTAGAATCTACTTGTGCACAAATTTTTATAACCATTTTCTCTTAATAACATACATTTTCCAAGTTGCTATACAGTCTTTGAAAACATTACTTATAATTACTTTATTCTATCATATGGATAGACTTTATTGTATTCTATCATAGGAATATACATACCATAATTTATTTTGCTAAACTGTTGTTGCAAGATATTTATTTTCTCTGTATTTTTGTGTGTCTGATTAACCCATCTGTAACTTGTCATGAATTTTTTAGTTTAAACCATGCCTAAATGTTTTTTATTTTCAGAGTCATTTTGCAATCACAATAACCAAACTCTTCTTACTCAAAAAACCATTGTTCTTGTTTGTCTCTTCAATTAGCGTGTCCTACTACATTATCTCTTATATTATTGCATCAAAGCGTTACCCAAATGCTGAATTATACTTCACGTAACTAATTTTTGGTGTGGGAAGAACCTTGAGAATAGTGCTCTAGCTATTACTGATACTTCAAAAACATTTAAGTTGATGTGTTTTGAGGAGAAAGAGAGCCCATATCATGATTTCAAACTTTTCTCATTCATGGTACTATGAAAAAAGTACCTTTCCTTAAATATCAGAATTTTGCTACATTTTACTGTATTAATGCATTTGAAAGTTGTGTTAATTTAGCCTTGTGAGAGAGATTTTGGAGATTTTCAAGTCCAGCTCTTCAATATGACCTAGAAAGGCCGAATTAGTTGTTCAAGTTCACCTGCATAGTCAGTGGCAGAAACAGGACTAGAACCCTGTTTTTGGCCTCCTTTTAATTATTTTTTCGTTCAGGATGGGCCAACTCTGTTGCTAAGCTAAGATGGGTCTTGTTTGCAGAATTAATCTCTAAGTGTGTCAGTTATCTTTGGTCTTTGCACAACAACAGACAAATATTTGATTCTAATATCCGCATTCTTACTTTTGGAGAAAATAAAACTAAAAGAGAAAGTACAAAGCTGGAGAAGTCATTACTGCTACTGAGGAAATAACTCACGTGTTACATCGATAGTAACATTTGAACAAAGTATTACTTATATTTAAAATTTACTGTATGTCATCTTTTGCTTTATTTTGGCAATTTTATTTAAAAAATAACACATAGCCCTTCTCTTTCACTTATTTAAAAGCAAACAAACTATTGAAGCTGCCTGAGGAGATGACTGGCATGTCCAAGGAAGTGGCCAGTGGGCCTGGGGCTGAGGAGGGTGCAGGGTGGTTGGGGATGAGAATAAGGCTGCCTTGGCCGACGTGGTCAGGGCTGAGGAGTCAACTGGCAGGGTTGGGAGGCTGGTTACATACAGGGGTTTGAGCAAAGAAGTAAATATATTCAGGTCAACGGGGGCCAGGCTTTTCTCTGCTTGAGAGAAGAATTACAAATATGGAAAGGAAGAAGACCGAAATAAGCCTTATCAGTGTGAACTTGTGGTATTTAATATCTGTTTATATTTCTATCTGTGTATATCTAGGTCCAGATTTGTGTATGTATATATATATGTGTGTGTGTACATGTATGTGTATATAAGTGTATCATACTTATATTTCCTAGCATTTATATTTTGGTTTCTAAATACCAGTCTCCTCTAAAAGGAAGAACTCCTTGGAGAAATGTCTGATTCATGACTGGGGCAGGGAAAATACAAGATAAACCTGAAACATCTTTTATGCCAGAAAGGAAAGTGCTCAAGAAATAATGAAGATATAACAAAAACACACAGATGCCAGCTTTCAGGGGCTCCCACTAGGCAGGTTTTGGATATTTATAAGATCAAAATAAAGTGTGCTATTAATGGATTATAACCCATTGAGTAAAATAGAACATGTGTCTATACCTACATACTTAGTTGACTAAATAAATAAATATTCTTCATCCTCTTTAGTAGGAAACCTACTGATAATATCAAAATTGAAAAGTTAAGAAAAGCAATATACATGTTATTTTGAAAGAAAGGCTGCGACGAAGACAAAAATAGCTAATAGAGTTCTGAATTTGTATCTGAGGAGCATGAAGTAGTAATAGCAACTGAAGCACACTGTGCTGCTTTTTTATGTTTTAATTTGTTTTTATTGTAAGCCTTGTGGAATGCATTGACTTTTGAAAACTGTAGACATACTTTTCATTTTGAAATAATTTCCAAAGTTGGAGAAATGTTGCAAGAAAATCACAAAGAACCTAGATTTCCCAATTATTACCGTTTCACGACTTCCATTGTCTCTCTCTCTGTGTAAACTAAATAAATTGGAGACATGACGTTTTGTTACTCCTAAATAGGTCTATGTAGTTTTTGAAAACGAGCGTTCTCTCCTACATGATCATCACAGTAGAAATAACAAAATCGGGGCAGTAACATTGACACAACACTACATTCTGATCCTCAGACCCTTGCACATTTCTCCAGTTGTCCCAATAGCATCCTTCAGAGAGAAGAAAACAGAGGTTGTCCCCCTTTGGTACGGAGTCCGATCCAAGAACATGTGCTGCACTTGGCTGTTGTGTGCCTTTGGTGTTCTCCAGTCTGAGCGGTTCCTCACCTTCCTTTTCCATAATGGTATTAGCGTTTTTGAAGCTATTTGATAGGTAGTGTCTTCTCCCCTCATACATATATTTTCCCTCCTACCATGTTAACATAATTATATCACCATTTTTGGTTCAATTCAGGATTCAGAACAACTTTTATTCACAGTCAAGCCATATGGTGAACTATTACATTTTCATTCTTATACACCTTTCATTTTCTTGAGAGTTCATCATTCATTTATTCATTCATTCTCTTTTTTTATCCCTCCCTTTCTCTCTCTCACTTTCTCCCCCTGTCGGCTTTCTTTGCACCCATTGTAATTCATCTACAAACTCTAACACAGCATTCTTCCTTTATTATGTTTAAACATATCAGGTATTCTGCCGGCCTCCCTCCCTCTCTCCCTCCCCGCTTCCTTTGCTCACTCCCCTTTCTTTTTCTCTTCCCCTCTATCTCTTCTTCCTTTCCCTCTCTTATTCTTTTTCCTTGTTCCTCTCCCTGGAGACTCTGTCTTCCTGGTTCAGTCTGTGTGGGTTGTTCTCTAGGTCGGCTGCAAAGCTGTCAATCTGGAATGTTCTCTCACCACCATCCAAGGAATTTCCTTTAGTTCTTTTTTCTGTTGAATCTCCTGTTTTCAGATCCTGTTTCTTCTTTCTTGGTATATGCCCTTGCTTTGGAAAAGTACAGAAGCTTCTAAAAAATGGGTACATGGGAAGTCAGTTTTTGAAATCTTTCATATCTGAAATGGCTTTATTCTGTTTGTAAACTTGAATGACAATTTGCCTGGCTAAAGAGAATTCTAGGTAGAGATATTTTCCTCTCAAAAATTTGAAAGTAGTATTTTACTGTTATTTAGTTTGCAGTGTTCCCATCGAGAAATCTGAAGCTATTCTTATTCCTGAGATTCCTATTGTATTTTACCTGTCTATATTCTCTCTGGAAGCTTTTAGGAATTTTAAAATCTCTACTATTATGAAATGTCAGAGTGATTGTTGCTTGTAGGAGTACCACCCATCCACCACTGACCCATTCATTTTGAGGAGGCCTGATAAGCCCTACCAACCTAGACACACTTCAGTTCAAAGGACATTTTCCTTCTTCATTTTCTGGAATTCTTTTTATTCAGGTACTGTCTGCCTGGATCCTTTAATTTTAAAAAATACTTTATTCTTTTCCAACTATTATTATTTTGGTTTAACTTAGTTCTTGAATTCTATCTTTTAAACTTTCTGTTGAGTTTTTACTCTACTATCATGTTTAAATTTTCATAAGACTCCTTTTTTACTGGTTTTGCTGCTGTTCTTAACCGTTTAACTATATGTAACACCTGTTTTCATTCATGAATTTGATGTCATTCTTATCTCTGACGATGTCATCTATTTTTTAAGCATCCTGTCTCTATTCTGTCTGATTTCTGTATTTTATTTGTCTATGAATCCTTTTTTCACATCAGAGGCTTTTCATATAGTCAGATGTTCTGTAGTTCCTACCCCAGGTAATGAGAAGCTGAGCAGATATGCAGCGGGCGTTGTGGGGGCTTCCCTGTAGCATGATTATGCAGAGACCTGGCTAATCATCAAGGAGCTACAACTGTCAGTTTTTTCTGGGACCAGTCAACTGAGAGAGGAAAACTCCTACTCCCACTTCCCCGTCCCCGCTCCCCAAACTAGGGAAGAGGGCCGTAATCTTTCCATTTGGATGTAGGTCTGTCCCTTGAGATGTGTGTTTTCCTAGGGCCTCCCTCTCTCCCTCTATCTTGCCTGGTGCCCTTGAGTTCAGAGACACTCCAGAAAGTAAACTTACAGTTCTTTGCAAAATTGAGGAGGAAAAGTCACCTGATAGCATAGGATAGTTGAGGGAATATGAGGTACTAACGTTTTTTGCTATATTAGCTTTTTCACCAATCCTCCGGTTTGGGCTCCACCAGCACTCTGTGTCCACGGTCTCTGGGATCGTCTGGCATAAATGTGCCTTCTTCTTCCTAATTTACCATTCTTTCCTAGGTTTACTTTTCAGCTTTCTCTGCACTGTTATTTCAGTTACCACTTGACAATTAGAGTTCCAGTTTCCAAAAACTAAATTCTGCTTAGTCTCTTCTTTTTACCTTGAGGGTTTGTGCTTTTTCCTGCCTTTTTGTCATTTTGTTTTTATTTGTTTGATTCTTTGTCATTTTAAACGTAGGACTTTAAGAGGAAGCAGAGATAAAAATACATGTTTGACATACCGTACTTAACCAGGAGTCCAGTTATCTTTTTTGTTCTTGAGATATTTCATTAATATTTGTGGTGTCTATGAAAAAGGATTTTAACAGTTTTTTTTTCCATAAGTGTTAATTTTTGAATTTTATTCCTTAGGATGCCTCTCTGATGGACATGAATTCCTTCAGCCCTATGATGCCAACATCCCCTTTATCAATGATAAACCAAGTCAAGTTTGAAGATGAGCCAGATTTGAAAGATCTTTTTATTACAGTTGATGAACCTGAAAGCCATGTTACTACAATTGAAACTTTCATTACTTATAGGATTATTACTAAGGTAAACACTTAATGAACATTTTCTTGGATATTGTTGCCATCTTTGAACTTTTGGGAATGCTTCTTGTTCTGTAACTGTAACTCTCCGCATTATAGAGTCTTGACTGAATTGACTTATTTTTCAACCATTTTGGGTAAGACATTGCATCTTATATTCCCTTCACTTGTTCTATATCAAATCAGTGAAATTCCAGTTAACTTGAGTAACAGTCAGCCATTTTTTTGGCAGTTGTGCTTCTTAAAATAGGTACATTTTAAGTTTCTAGGTCAAAAAAAACATAAAGAAATAATTTGGAAAATAAGAGCCTCGATTTGCTAATAAAACAACTAGTTAAAAACATGATGTAATATTTGTATTCATATTTCTTCTGAAGATTACAAAAAATAATTTTATTTATTTTCCAAAGAAGAACAAGTAGCCTGTTTATTTTATATAAAAGATACTGTTGGTTGCTTAGTAATTCTGGGGCAGAGTAGATGTAGAATCCGAGCCTCCTTAATCCAAGGACAAAGCTCTGCAAAAAGACTTTACCTCTGACAAAATAAAACAACCAAATAGTACATCCATTTAAAAAAAATGCTTTACTAACAGCCTTTAGGAATTCTATTTATAAATTATAATATTTTATTTATGAAGCCTCACCCTATGGCTCTTTTGTAGTTGACAAGGTTTTGGATCATCTTCCTGTAGTCATTTCTTCCAATGAAGCTTCGTTACATTTCACAACAATGTATATATCTGATCTCTCCACTCAGATTCTTAAAATCCTTCATCAGCAACCCCTTTCCGACAGAACAAGTGCAAACTTTTTGGTATGACACGTAAAGAAGTTCTCAATCTGTTGCCAACCTGCCATGTAAGACTCACTGTCCACTTTTAATACCCCTGCTCTCCACTCATATAGAACTACTTCTATTGTCTGAATGTTCTAGGGTATTACTTGCTCTCCTGACTTTGCATATACTTTTCCTTCTGTCTGGTATGTCCTTCCCTCTCTCAAACAGAAGAACTACTGTTTATCTTTTAAGACATAAGTCAAAATGATGCCTGCCCTCCCATTTTTGCAGGCTGAAAATTCTCTTTCTTCTGTTTCCTCTTACTGTTCTAACTGAACTCGTAAAGAATGTAAAATATTAGAGTCCGTGTAGCAAGGCAATTAAAAGCCTATATTTAATCCTTCTAAGCCTCAGGTTTTTTAAATCTATAAAACTGAAACGGTAATACAGCCTGGTTCTGTAGAGTTGCTGTGAGAATTGACTTAGGACAGGTAATCAATGCAAAACACTTAGCAAAGTATCTGACACATAGTGATCAGTAATTGCCACCCATCCACATGTGAGTAGATAACTATGTGTTTATTTGTGTATAATCCCAATGAATATATGAGTTTCTCAAGGAAGGTAATTATATATTAAGTTTTCTATAATTCCAAACACAGTCCTTAGGATAAAGTAAGTAAGCAATTTAACTTTTTGGTGAATGAGTGAAGAAATTTATAGTACATAGCCATATCAAGAGGCTATAGAGCAAGACAGCATGGATTTAAATTGTTATTCCTCCTCTTCGTTGCTGTGTCTTAGACAATTTAATTAAAAGAGTAAAGTAGGTCTAGTAATTCACAGTGAAGTGTAGAGGGAATGGTTAAAGTACATTCTTGATTCTAAGATTAATTTTCCCTCAGAAACAGTCTTCTAAATCCTCGGAGCTAAGTGAACTGTTTGCCCTTGATCAAAGGTCAGTGTTTGTTGAACGAATGCATTTTGGGGTGTAGATCACATGGGTCCATTAGTCTTAAACTTCAAGTGCCCAAGCTTTCACGGTCAGAGATGAAAAATTAAACACCATGTACAATATAGCTTCCATGGAAAAGTTTATTCTAGATTAGAAGCATTATTTATGCTCTGAATCAACGTTTTAGAACACACGTTCTTTTGGGATAGAGATCTGTTATCAAATCTCGTTATTCCTACAGTTTGGAAGCTTTTATCTGTCTTCTAATAACCAAAATTGGCCACTTTAGATGGCACATCCCTGCTGTAGAGAAATTAGTTATGATCCGAACCCAGCTGATAATACTTGTTTTCCTTGTCATATTCATATATATATTCATATATACATATATGGCTCATAACCCTTTTGGAGTAGAATAAAGTCTTACAGTAGAAAGAAAGAAAACACTGTCCGTGAGACTTGCACTTATCCTCCGTTATTGCAATATCTTAGAGAACTCTTTTGGGTCAATGACAGTCTGATAAGGACACAATCAACCATTATTTGACTTGATTTAATATCTTCCTCTTGCTAGAATTTAAATCAAATTGTTTTATATTTACTTAAAGTGTTGGAATTCTTGAGGACATCTGAAGCTCAGTCTTATTTTAACTGCCCAGTTTTGAGTGTTTCTATTGTTAGTTTTGCCAATTTTCCCCCCTGGAAATTGGTAGTGAACCTGTACATATGTGCCTGGTACAAGGAGGTGTTCAATAAATATTTTTTACTGTGTGACTCTAAACCATGTTTTGTGTGCATATGTATGTATGTGAGTGTATATTTGCATATATATGTACACATATCAACCATATATAAATTCTTATACTATTTCTACTAGATTTAGTTTTTCTATTTTTACCATTTCTATAACATGTACCATTTTGCATAATATTTAAGATTTTGTAGTGTTTTGTGAACATTTAATTCTTTAGATATATGCATCTCACTTACCTCTGCTTTTTCTCACTGAAAAGGGAATGGTTTACTAAGGTACATTGTATGATGCTCTAAACATTCACTTCAAAAGAATAAACCTTGGAAAGTACAGCTAATGTCAGCCTTATTTCATGACAATTAAGATCGCATCTTATGACTCGAACTGCTTAATTTTACAATTGTGTTTGCGTGGGTGATTGATATTTCTGGCGAGTGTGAAATATGTATGCAATGTGTTATTCCATCTATACTCTTCCAGGAAAACCTCAACCTTAATATCACTGTGTATAATTTTTAAATGCAAAAATTCAGTTAAATAAGATATTGGTGGAAGTGACTGTTTTCTTATGAGAGGTGCTTATACATTAGTCTATTTTTGTATTTGGCTTAGGATTCAGGCAATAGAAGTAAGGTTGGTATTGTACCCACGTTCTTGTCATATGTGTTGGCATAGATTTTTTGGATTGTTAAGAATAGATATTTCATATATTCGCTTAATTTTTAGGAGTTAAGGTATATAATTCAAAATAAAATTCCTTGAGGGTGACATAAAGATTTTTCTTTTCACATTAAATCTCCATTAATAACATTTTTAAAATAGCAGTAAAATCATTTTGTAAAATGTTATAATTTTCATATACTAAAAGCAAATTTTAGCAAAGCAATTCATTTGAGTACATTTCAGGAAAACATTTTTCTCAGATATGTTCAGGTTATTTTCCAAATTGCAATAATAGGACTTTCCTTAAATTCTGAATTCTGATCATCTTGAGAAAAGAAATATATTTGAAACCTAAATTCAGAACACACTTTCTCATTAGCAGGAAAGTGATGCCAAAGATAATAGTAGTTAAAATCTTGTGGAAGGCAGATGGTTGCTCTAAGACAGATTTTTCAGTTAGGGTTTTAAATTTGAGCATGATGTTTGCTTTCTTTCTGGAAATACTGGAAAGTTTGCTTTGTTTCATCTGCTACATGAATTGATGACTGCAAAAAAAAAGTACAGGCTGACAAACACTGAATAATTAGAATTTGTTAATGTTTCTTAGAGACCATTTAATTTAGAATGTCGAAAATAACATTAAGCAAATGTCTTCTGTCTTCTACTGCACGTGCTGTTATTTTTTCCTACTTTCTTTAGACATCTCGTGGGGAATTTGACTCCAGTGACTTTGAAGTTAGGAGACGTTATCAAGATTTCCTTTGGTTAAAAGGAAAACTTGAAGAAGCACACCCCACTCTCATTATTCCAGTAAGTTTACATTTTTTTTTTCATAGACTAGCTGCCATTTTATATTGTGAATCGTTAGAATGCCTAAAACCAAATTGCAGACCTTTATATTCAGTGTAATTCATTTATCCTAGAAACATTTGTTTTTAAACTTTTTAATGTATGTACGGACTTATTTTTTTTTAACTGCTGTAATATGTTGAAATTTTGCCATTTTTGGTTTTAGCATTGTGAATTTTAAAAAATTATTTCAATAAGAAATAATTACATGTTCAGATAGTCTTCCAAAAAAGAAAAGTGTAGCATTTCTTATAATCCTGTGCCACATAATTCTGATACTGTTGTAATTTTTTTTTTTTTTTTGCCTCAGCCATTGCCAGAAAAGTTTATAGTGAGAGGAATGGTGGAACGCTTTAACGATGACTTCATTGAGACACGCAGGAAGGCATTGCAGAAGTTTTTGAACCGAATTGCTGATCATCCAACTTTAACATTTAATGAAGACTTCAAAATTTTTCTTACTGTACAAGCTTGGGTAAAGAATTTTTATTTTTACTCATATAATCCTTTAGTATCTATATGTATAGTAGGTCGTACACTTCCTCTTCTTTACCTTTATAAATCAGGCAGCAGTGTCCTTGTATCAAGATGGATATTTATACATTGGAGAGAGAGATATCCTTAAGATTTATATCTACATATAAATATTACAGGAATCTTGTATCTTATATCAAATCTACATATAAATATTATAGGAATCTTGTATCTTTCTCATGATTACATACTCATTTCTCTTAATAGCTGATTTTTTTTTAAATGTCAGAATACTCCTTGAATACACAGCCCATAGTGAACATATACAAATATAGTTCTTTTATTGACACTATTTTGAGTAGTAATGGATTTTTAAGTTAGGGCTTTTCAAGTTAGGATAAAAGTCTTTATTAAGTGGATAGGTAGATGGGTGGTTGAATTGTTGATGGATAGCTGGATAGACAATACAATTTCCTTACTTTTCCTTTAATTACCTACTCGGGGGAGCTCTAATTTTTAATTCAGAAACCTTATATGTTCTTCTTTTTTCTTTTGTCCTGTGAAGATGTAGCTCATCAAGAAAGATAATGGATAGAACAGTCTTTATGAAACAATTACTGACTAATGTTAAATTTTATCTCTCTCAGTTTCTGCCAAAATGAAGCTAAAAAATGGATCATCTTAATCTTGACAGATAGACCTACTATCTGGAAGCCCGTTGTGACTTATGTGAAATGAATTTGTGGCCTGACTCCAGAACCTTAGAAACTGTTAGAAAGAATCTCTGTAGTCAACAGTTGCAGGAACAGCTTGGCAGTTGTGGCTTGTTCTGTTTCTGATAATGTTTACTCTATCAAATGATGCTGTAGCACTCCTGGATAGATGTGTTGCCTGGTCGAGCAGGGCATATGTTATTATTTCCATATTGATACTGATTTGGAAATAAACATATTATATGTGTGTGTGTGTGTGTGTGTATGTGTATACATACATATATATGTAATTTTGTATAAGATATTCAGAAAAAAACTGGAGAAAGATGATATGTTATTTAATATTTGAGTAGATAACATGCAATAATATTTTTATCTGCGATTTAATAGTCAACCTTGTTTTATATAGAGATTTTGTTTTCTTGTTTATTACTCTTCAACTTTTATTTGATCCCACACCTATGCTCCCACAAATGCTACAGCCATCATCAGAATCCCTTGTCCTCCTTCTTGGTGTTTTTTTTTAATATGCCATACTTCTGAAAGGATATTTCTGTGGTAGTGTATCTTTTAAAAGCATTTTTTTTTTCTATTTTTCAACTCTGTAGCTATCCCTCCTAGGTTGACTATGAAACAGCTAGTTACATATCTTATTAAAAATCTTTCTCTACAGCCACCCAGCCAGTGGAGGGGTGTCACAGTTTACCCACTTCAGTTGGTTAAGGAGCTGTGATCAGGGGGTATCTATTTACAAACTATCCTCATGGCCTTAAGAAGACAGAGCCAGCTAGTGCTTAGCTGTGCATCTTCTGGAGTCAGACTGCCACAGCTCAGGTCCTGGTCCACCACTTAATTGCTCTCGGACCTTCAGAAGCTCCTTAGCCTTCCTGTGCCTCTATTTTCTTCCATAACATGAGGTTAATAACAGAACCTACCTCATACTGTTATTGTGATTATGTATATAAAAATGAGAGGATGGTGCCTGGAACATATTAAGCTCTCAATACATGTTCACTCTCATTAAAACTAAAGAATTTCCCTTTTTTTCCCCAAGGAGTAGTTTATACCCTGAGAAATCTTCTCTCAGTCATTTTTTTTCCATTAAGTTCCTAACATAAAATGTAGATGGCACCTCCTGTTGTTCTATGTTCTTCAGAATCTTCCTAAGCATGTTTATGTCTATAAACCTTATTCTTTTAAAGATCCATGCTCTGAGGAAACATGGATACATGTTATACATGAGTACTTTGAAAAGGAATATTATCGGGGAGACTGAGACTGAGAAGGACTATACCCTAATAAAACTCATCTGCTTTAAGTTAATATGAAAAAAAAAATGCATGAAACATTTTTATCTTCATTTTATCCTTCTAATTAGGTTTCTTTTTTTGTTGGGCTTTACAATGTTGTTTGCTCGACCACAAATATTTCTTTTTGTTGTTGTTCGTTTCTAGGAACTCTCGTCTCACAAGAAACAAGGGCCCGGATTACTCAGCAAGATGGGGCAGACAGTCAGAGCTGTTGCACTGTCAATGAGAGGAGTCAAAAGCCGCCCCCAGCAGTTCATGGAAATGAATGACTTTATTGAAATATTTAGCCAGAAAATAAATTTGATAGATAAAATATCTCAGAGGATTTACAAGGAAGAAAGGGGTATGTAGACTAATTGAAATGTGATTTTAAAGTTGTTTTATTTCTGATGGATCTTCACATTTGCTAGTGTAGTAAGACCTTAAGTTAACATTTTTTTTTGGTGGCGGTGGGGTGGGGGGGGTGGCTATTCTTTCTTAGGATTTCTATCTCTCCGCTTACGCTGCCCATCTGTTCTTGCATGTGGTTTACTTTATCTATTAGTGCGCTTAGCATATTAGTCACAGTTACTTTAAATTCCTGGTCTGATAATTCCAGCATTCCTGACATGTCTGGTTTTGAGAGACTTGCTGTCCCTTTAGATTGTGCTTTTTTGCCTGTTAGTAAGCCTTACAATTTTTTCTTGACAGCCAGACACATGTACTGGGTAAAAGGAATCGTGTAAATAGGCCTTTAGTAATGTGGTGGTAAAATGTGTGGAGAGGGGAAATATTCTATACTCCTATAATTAGGTTTCAATCTTTTAGTGAGTCTGTGCCTCTGGACTGTGAACTTCACAAAAGGTTCTCGGCAACTCACCTTATCCCCTGCCCCTCTGTTGGGACGGAATGGCCAGAGTGGGCTGGATTTGGATATTTCCTTCCTCCAGGTCAGTTAGGCTCTGATAATACCCCAACAGATTAGGCTCTGGTTGACTGGTTTCCCCCTGTTAAGAAGAATGGAGTGCTCTGGTTATTTCAAAATGGTTCATTTTCCCTTTCCCTGCTGTGGGAACCTAGTCAAGCCCTTGCAGGTAAATCTCACAATCTTGCGGGAGTTCCCATGACTAGGTCCCCCTGGAGTTGTTACCTCATAGACGTGTCTACCCTGACCTGAGCCTTCAGCAGGTTATCAATTACAACTTCAGTCTCCCTACCCCAGCACTGGTCCCGGACACGGCTTCTGCTCTTGAGTCTGTGCTCCAGTAAAGGCACAGTTCCTTGTATTTGCCTGTCTGTCTTTCCAGTCTTGGGGGCATTCGTTTGTCCTGTGTCCTCCTCTCTCTTACAGTTCCAAGAAAAGCCGTTGATTTTTCAGTTCGTTCAGCATTTTCTTTGCTGTTGGGACCGAATGGTGACTTCCAAACTCATGTTCCAGACTCATGCGAAAGATTACTTAACATTAAGTTAGAATTTTAGCTTTAAAATATGGTTTATGCCCAGATGTATTGTGAAAATTTCTGATTCTTAATGATTCTGAAGGTAGCCATGTCCCGTCCCCATTTGTTCTAATCAATCACTACCCATTCTTTTTCCCATTTATAAATAATAGTGGTAAAGTAAGCTCTGAGCTGAAGATGTTGGATGTAGTTGCACGAAGTTGGTCTCAAATGTTCAACACGGACCATAGCTTAAAAATTAAAGAAGTGACGTTTCAAGAAATAGGGTTTCCACATTTTCTAGTGACTTTGGGGGAAACAAGTATTCGATATTAGGCCTGTCCAAGCATGACCGAGAGATTTATATATTAGAAAATAGGTCTCTTTCTTTCCTTATTTTTTCTAGCACTGTTTTCTTTTCTTTCTTTAATTTCTTTCCCTTTTTTTTTTTTTCTTTTTAGTTTACAAGTTCAACTTTGTTCCATGGTAGCTTTTTTCAAATTCCATGATGGCTTTTTGCTAATTTTCTAATTACATTTACTTATATTAAACATAGATGGCTAAGTCAGAAAATGTATTTCCTGATATAAATTGGTTTTAGAAATGAACTCCTTACAGTCTGTATATTGATGGTTTGTTTTTTTCGTCAGTGTTCCCCATTAAACTGTAAGTTCAATCAGGACAAAAACGGAAAAGTTTTGCTATATTTCTAGTATCTAGATAGCACCTAAGACATAGCAGGTGCTCAATTAAAATCTTTTCAGTGTCTTAAAAATAAATTAATATAAATTTTGTTATAGCCAAATGTGCATTGCTCTTTATTTTCTAATAATTGGCACTTAGAGGTCATTGTTGTGACTGAACATAGTTTAATAGTTTCTTTTAAGCCTTCTTGGTCTGATCTTGCACTTACTATTTGTCTTTATTTTTTTTATCTCAAGAAGCTAATTGTTTTAACTAGGTTCTGTGATTCCAATTCTGTTAAGTAGATTTTTGATGCATAGTTAAGTGGGATAGCAATTCAGAGAGGCTCCTGGAAACTCTTGATACTTAAGAGTTTTTAAAAATATTCACGTATTTTATATTTGCTTGTGCAAAAGAACAGTTTAAGCCTTTGATATACTCTCATGTTTGTGAAATCCTCAGAAAGAAAACTTGATTTTGTGATAGACTTTGTAAATAAATTTGAGCTCTCATTTCCATTCAGTGAATGCCATTGACCTAAATTTGTGGGATTTTTTTTTTTTTTTTTTGGTTTTTAGAATGTAAAGCCCACTATCTAAGCTGTATAGATATTTTATTCATATTCAAATCAAAGAATTTGATTACCATAACTAGCGGGTTCTCTTTTATATTTTTATTCATTTTTTTCTTTGATTTTGTCTTTGGGGGGCGGCGGAAGTGGTTCCTGGTTTATTTGGTAAGTTTATATTGAGCACATGTGCTGCTTTTCTGTGCTCGAGATTAGAGAGGGAATAAGATGGTGCCTGTCCTCGAGCTCTTAGCCTGGTGGGGGGAACATATTAACAGACAAACTACAGTGTACTTCATTAAGTGTTTGCATACAAATGTGATTTGAGTGCTGCGTAAGCACAGTTTAGAATGTTAGGGAAGCTCTATATTTTATTATTGATAAAAATAAATATTGCGCAGGTTAAATGGCGCACATCAATGTATACAAAAATTGAGAAAAGAAATAAAGGAGAACATTTTCTTTTCTAGAAATAATAGTTTAGTATGGCCATTTATTTAAAATACAAGATTAGGAGGGTATAATTTAGAAGGGCTGTAATGGTTTTTAAACCTATTACCTTCATTAGGTGACAACTAATAGTTCCATAGTTTTTATTTTTTTAATATTTTTTCAATTTACTTAGTCATACAAACTTTTGAAATTTTAATAGTTTAATTTAGAGCAATATGACATTACAACTTACCCTGCTGAGTAGTAAGATGATTAAATATAGAGAATTTAGTTTTATTCATGTAAATATTAGACAGAAAATTCTCACTGCTTATACATTCTCTACCATAAAAAAAAAAACAAGTATCTATTTTTGAAAGTTGATAATGTTCAGATTTTAAAATGAAATCCAATTTTTGGGTAAATGGCCTACATTGATTAGTCTTTTGTTATTCATTTATTCTTTCACTGATGTGAAAATATTTATTGAACACATCGTGATTCAGGCTTTGAGATTAAAAAAAATAAGACTCAGCTCCTGTTTTAAGGAGCATATGGCCTAGGAGTATGTCAGTTATCCTAGCAATCATAAAGGGTGGGATAATAGAAGTATAAATTTATAATAGGCTTAACAGAAGTATAAAATTATGATAGGCTCATTGAGGACAAAGCATCAAAAAATCCTTTGGAACAGAATCAGAAGAGATTTGTTTACACTACTATTTAAAGGATTAGAAATTTGGCCGATGTTAGAAATGATAGAGGATAAGACAGAGGGATATGTACAGTGTTTGAGTTAGATATTAATGAAAGAACAATTATTTTGGCTTAAATTAAAATATCTTTGGAAGAGACTCTCAAGAGTTAGATCTGGAGAGACAAGATAGGGACTGATCATAAAGGACTTTCTAACATAGTTACAAAGCATCAATGTTTATGTATTGTGACAAAAAGGGAAA